CTATCTATCTATCTATCTATCTATCTATCTATCTATCTATCTATCTATCTATCTATCTATCTATCTGTCTGTCTATATCTATCTATCTATCTATCTATCTATAAATAATACTGTTTGGTGCCAAACAGTAAGAGGAAGTTCCAATCAATGAGATCTAGCAAACAACTTAAAATGCATATACTGTAAATATCAGCTGTTTCTTTATGTATCCCAGAAATGTCTTAGTAAGATTATATTTAAATGCTTTGTTTTTTTATTTTTTAATAATAAACATAAACATAATGTAATGCAACACAATGCTGAGATACAAATAAACATGCATCAAAAGTCTAATTAGATACATTTCAAGTAAAACAAAACTGCTTCAGTCCAGTAAGTGTTTATCTTGAAATAAATACATAAATTACAATATGAAATTGATATTTAATATATAAATTATTCTTTATAAAAATCTGTAAAGATTTCACAGAAAAAGACACATGTACCATGACCTGAAGGGGGACGTTTTCACAATTACACTAAAAGGCCTTTTACTTGCTAAAAAAAAAAGTATCAAATATTAATTAGATGACAGAAGGCATGCAGTAGATTATATACAACAGGTTTTTAAACAAAGTTTTTATCATGTTGATAATTTAGAGGCTTTTAAAATGTGCATATCAAATATGGTACTGGGAGAGCGGGGCACAACCTAAAAATGATTGACTCTCTCAGTTTGTGTAAATCCACTTGGGTTTCAGAAGAATTTTTTCCCCATATTAATTTCACGTCTAGTACAAATATGTAGTATTGTTTCATTAATACAGTGTATACCTTTTTCTTTGTTTACCCTAAAAGAACAGAATTGAAATGTGACATCATACCCCATCGGCAGGGCATGTTGTAACAACCATATGACAGCTTAAAATGTTATCAGATCTAATAATATTATATACATACACAAGTCAATCTAAAATGCTTTGCCAGTAAAAATAAAATACAAATTAACTCTTTCATATAAAATAATGTTGTTTTTTTTTGGTAATTAAAATATACTAATTTATTTAACAAAGATCACACCACAAAACACAGAACTGATCACAACCCCTCTCCTGCTGCCACACACAGCTCTCCCAGAACACAAGACAAATAGACAAGCCAGTAGGAATGCTTTCAATTTCTTGAAATAATAATATCTGACTTCTAATTAAAACCTCTTTATGGAGGGTTCTCACATGAATCACCCTTTTTGTGATTGAGCACAAAAGGGAGGAGGGAAGGAAAGTACTGTAGTCGGACAGACAGGCAAATGGATGGAAGGAAGGCTAATTAGACATCTGAAGCACTGTGAGAAAGACATACAGTAATTGTGTGCACCATAGGTCATGCATTGATCATTGTATCATAATTGCCAACCCCCATGTGCTAATGAGTAGACAGTAAAGAAATTTCAAATGTGGATGTCACCCCCTCCATTGTTAGTTTACACAAAGAAGAGCCACTTAGTTAACTATTGTGACACACCGCCTATCACTGTCACAGATCCAGATGCACAATGGGAGTGGGGGATTTAGTGAAGGGGTGTGGCTTCAGAGTTTCGCTGGCAGTGTGTGATAAGATGTATGTACAGTATCTCATCATTGCTGCAATAAAGTCAATAAAAGCCCAACGCAGACCAACCCCCCTCTAGACTTCACTTCCCCAGCACTACAGCATGTGACCAGAGTGGTAATATTTCCTACAGAACAGAAAGTGCCTTTTCTTAAGATTCCACTCTGCTCATTCAGTCTGCTCAGGGTCACTCGCTCAGCCCAGATTGCTCTTTGTGATATGCTGGTTTGAGAATTTGTGAAATAAGCAATAGGTCTAAGGTTATGGAGTTCAAATATTGTTTTAATGAAGTTGCAAACCTTATACATAGCCTAAATGCACAGTAAACATCAAAGTTAAAACAAAGAAGGAGAAGAAATTGAAAAATAGTGTGAAGAAACTGAGTTATGACTGCAGCCATTGTTTCCTGAGAAGGGAACAAGACGACACTGATGATGATACTATGTGAACATTACCATGTGATTTTGTCTGAAACACTTGAATCACTCCAATCTCACTGGTGCAGTGTCACCCTGTAATGAGTGACGGCGTACAGTGGAAGCTATATAAGATACCCAGAACAAAACATTGGAGCATCTATCAATCACAGGCATGCTGAAATTATGGCAAGGGGACGCAGCATCTCGTGACCCATGAGTACAGTCATGACCTGAAAGGTTCCCTGAGAATCTTGTGGATTGTTTGAGTTGCTCCCTGAACATCTGGAATGCTGCCACTTGTTTATTGACCTCATGAAACCTCTCAATGACAGAGTTGACTGTGAAGGTGTTTTGTATGGTTTTTAGTGTATTGTGTGGTATTTTTAAAATAATGGTTCATCCAACAATGTAATTTCTGTCACAACTTTTTTTATTTTTTTGTCCAAACAATAAAAGTCAGTAGGGTCCAGTGCTATTTTGAATCCCAGTAACTTCTGCAAAAATCAATTGTTCGTTGAAAAATTAGATGCGATACACATTTTAATTAGAATGAACTGCAGGTAATGCACTTGTTCAGACCGAAATGAACATTTTCATGCCATCAATGTTTTTTTTTTTTTACCTAAGAGCTGTTTTAATCTCTTCCATCACGCTGCGAAGAAAACTGTCCAATCAATAAGAATAATGCCTTTGGTCATGTGCCCGTTGCTACTATTGCAGAAAACTATGTACGCTCACAGATTACTTGCTAAGCAACGGTCAATAGTAGAGGATGAATTAGGACCCAGCTCTCCTTCTCTGTACTTTTGTATTTGGTGTTGTTTGACAGACA